CCAATATTTACCTATTTTTAGACTTAACAACCTTGGCAACATGTCTTACAAGCACCACTACCTAGTTTAAAAGGTCCCTTGTTAGGGAGAAACACATTTTAACTGCAGGGAAATACTGAAATCACTTGGCTGCCGTGAAGCTGCAGGGGTTTGGCGGGGGAAAGGTTTCAAAGCAAATTATTCCTGCCAGGATTGGGTTTTTTCCTCCCAAGAATGAGGTTTTATTGTTTTCATTGTAGTTACATTCCTACTATGAAAACTTTAGCTTTTTTAAGAAATATCATTACAATTCATATGTAAGGAAAGGTTGCATGAAAAAGGGAATTCTTCACTTAAGTGTATTAACCTGTGAGATACAAATTTTAATGTACATGTGTGTGCACATATATAGTTTTGAATTTCACAGGCTCTGTTAAAGAATTTTGTGGGGAAAGATGGCGAGAAACAGCCCTGTGCTAGAAACAGTGAAAGAGCTGAAAGGCTGAGCAACAAGGGCAAATTGCAGTGGACGAGAAAAGAGCAGTTGGACTCTCTTCAGAACTACACACACGTGCAAGGCCACACACATTCAAGAATTTGGGGTGCAAACCCAGTAGGACACAAAGCTGTTTCCTCATTTTTTTAGATGCACCACTGAGCAGCTCTGCCTGCAGGTGGTGGAACACCTCCAGAGGTTGCTGTGGGGGCAGCCCCGAGCACATCAAAAAGCACCTCTTCTCCACAGACATTTCCAGGGAGCAGCTGGCAGCCATTTGGAGCAGCTGGTGGCTGTGGAGGTCCCCAGAGGCGTCAGTGCTTTGTAGCACAGGGCTTGTGGATGTCAGAGCAGTGCTTGCTGGTTGTTCCTTGCTGTGCAGTGTAACTCACGGCCAGGCTACGTCCTCGTCCAGCCCCAGCCAGTCCTGCACAGGCAGAACAGTCAGTCTTTTTAGCACTATTCTTATTAATAATAATAATATTCCTAGGCTGTCTGAGACACAGGAAAAGGGAGCTTTAGACATCCTTCAAAAGAGACAAGCGCACAGCTGGCTGCTGGCAACTTCAGCGAGCATCAAAGGGCTTGGAGTGGAGGAGAGAGACAGAACCATGTGTGAGGGAGGTGTTCTGGGGGCAGGCACTGTCCCAGAGAGACAGGACAAAGGAAACATCACAAAATTATTCAGAAATACAATTTTAGGGTGGGACAGGGAGGCAGGGGAGCTGTTAGGAAATATCGACTTGCACAGAAGAGAGGTCATGAAACTTTTGTGTCAGAAATGGCCCAGAAACTCCTGAGTGAGACAGGGAGGGGAGCAACTGAAGACACAAAACGAGCAATGGCCATGCAATTCTCAAAAATTCTTCAATCAGACACAGCTGGGCAGAAAGAAGCAGAGTTTCATTATATGCTCATGGGTTAGTCCTGAGGTAACATGGGGGTGAACCAGAGGATGCACTGCAGAAGCTCTCCTGAGATGCATAGCTAAGATCCTGGGTGACCTGCATGCCTACATTACAGTCTTTCTAATCTCTGCTGGCTCTCTCCTGCACACACTGAATGCTGTGCTGACAATCTGAGTTCACTAAGGGACTGAGAAGGTGTTCCTAGAAATATTAAAGGTATCATTAACCTCTTTCTTCATGAGCTTGATTTATCCAGAGGCTTAACACTCCATTCTCTACACATATGCAGAATTTTGACCCCTGGATCCCTTTCCTCCTCTCCCCCTAACTCTTCACAACTTCCAAGTCACACCAGTCTTTCCACTCTGCCAGAAGCAGCAACCCAGCTCTGCTGGCAAAAAACACAAAGAAACTCAGCCCAGCCAAGGCATGCTCTTCTTCACTTTTTATTCTGTACATTTCCACACAAGTCACAATACAGAAAAAGTGTCCAAAAGGAGCAGTAACCAGCTCTTTCATTGTATACATATTTCTTCCTTCCCCCAGTGTAAAATCTCCTTTGTTAGCAACACAGTGATCAAGATACGTTGTATAAATAGGAAAGAAAATCATGGAAGAAAATACTTTCTTACTTTGTTAGAAAAAGCCCCTCCTCCTTCTCATGTTCCCCTCACTGATGATTACCTGTGCCTTGATTCTCTGTTAAATATATATCCTCCCTTCATGGGTACCTCTGCATGCCTTGGATTCCTTTTGCCAGCTGGCAGCCTCAAGATGTTCCAGCACATTATGCATGGGGTCAGATAGCATAAAAGAGCCCTTTGAGGTGTTATTACAACTCCTGGAACAGATGTGGGTTCAGATAATAGGATATGTACAAATACTGGAACTCTGGATGCCCACAAAACGTTGGTTAAAAATGCACATTTGTTATTTGAATTTGCTGCTCTGTTCAGGGGGCCAAACACATTATGGAGCGGTCCAGGTTCTGACCTCGGTCACATCTTGGTTCACCAGCAGTGAAGCCAGTGCAGAGGAGATCAGAATCTGTCCTTTGTCCTTTCTCCACCCTCTCCAGGAAGCATCACTATATATATATATAAAAATATATAATATTTATATAATATACATATAGCCTGATGGAACTCAGACTCAGCCTTTCCATCAAGAGTCTGTTCATCACCATCCCACTCCTTCCTAGCCTTGATGACTCCTTCCTAGTCTTCTTCCCTTTTGCATGAGAAACTTCCAGTTCCCTAAATCATTGCCAACCCTTGTCCTTGTTCTTCACCAATTTCCATCTCCCATTTGCCAGGTGGCCAGAGGACATGTTAATATGAAGGCCAGAGAATCTGTTTCCTCAAATGTTTTCTCTCCGTTCCCCAGAAACATTTCACATCAACAAACCAAAGCTGTGACTTCTGGACTCTTAGGCAATATTCTGTCATACCAGCACAATAGCAGAGAGGTGACAGAAAGAATTATTTCTGAGATGGGCACTCCCAAAGGAAACATTCAGTACTCAATGAACTCAATACGAAGCAATAAAGCAGCTCTAAAATTCAGCAAAATACTCTTCTCTGAAGAGATATAACCCACCTGAATGCTTTCATTGATTTGAAATATTACCTGAGTTACAACCTTTAATACAAGATAGCTCAAACATGGAAATCAAGCATGAGAAGTGCAAAATAGCTCATTAGAAAATGGTCATTCTCCATCCCTCTTTACAATCCCAAACCAGCTAAATGAAAAAGCATGGGACAGGGCTAGTCTCACTGCCTCTCAAAAAATGACTCCATAAGAACCAGAATGCTAGAGAGGAGTAACATTACCAGGCTCAAAACACAAAAAAAACAACAACAAAAAAAAACAAACACAAAAACACAAACTAAAACAAAAAAAACCAAAACAACAATAACAAAAAACTCAAACAAAACCCCAAACAAAGAACAAAATCAAAACCCAAACAATTAAAAACTAGTTAATTTAAAGCCTATTTTAGGTTTGTAACACAAAGCACCTTACCTGTCTCTGTATGGGGAGATGTTTGATTTGCTACCTTTGGCCCTATCTCTTCGACCTCCTGAAAGAATTCTGATAAATTCTGAAAGCAAATGCTTTCCCTATTCTGTGACACAACCATGTGGCACACACTTAGACTTGCTAACTATCATAAGACAGAAGCATACCATTAAACCAAGTGATTATTTTTTGCATAATCTTCTTTGTTTTGCAGCAAAACAAGTCAGGTCTTGCTGGAAATAAATCCTCACCGAGCTAGCTGTGACAGTCTCATAAACCAAGCTCAGTCTTTACATATGTTGCATTTTCATTAGCACAAAACTGCACCTTTGTGTCCATAGGTAAAACACCATTTCCCCCATACCACCATGATTTTTCCCAGTGCAAGGCTGCAAAGCCACAGCTCTTCTAAAAACTGTGCAGAAGCAAAGTAGCAATAGCAGTGGCACAAAGGCAGGCCTGTAGCTTGTAGCAAAATATTCTGCTCACTGACTCAGAGAGGACACTGAAACCTCCATGGACTGCCAGAAGGTTTGTGTGGGAGCTGCAGAACACAAGTCCTCAGCTTTATCATTGGCTAGACTTTTAAAAAATCTTTGAAAAGCCTCCTGCTTCCAAAAAGCTGTCTGCATCCAAAATGACTGGCACAGGGTTTGCAATACAAAATAATATGGGCAGAGAAAAATAACCCTCATTTCCCACTGTGAAAGCACGTTTCACCTTGAGGAGATTTCTACAGAGAAATGTTGGCAGTCATATTCCCCTCCCCAGTGCTCTGCACCCTGGTGAGTTGGTGGCCAAGGCTGACAGCTCCTAAGTCCATTTTGAAAGGGATTTTAACTCCTGATTATTTTGTTTTCCAGTAGTTAGAGGACACAGAGCACTGTGTAACACGCGGTGTGAGGGCAGCTAGATGGCACCCATTACAAAGGGCTTTCTCAAGATGACTGCTCTGAGAAGACACAGGCAGGAACCCCTGTCCAGAGGCACCAGGAGGACAATCAAAAAGAGCTTGGAAGAGCCCTTAAGAGGGGAAGTCAGCCCCTACAGGCTTGCTGATGTCCGTATGTATTTCACACTCTACCTGGCACTGGTGGGGTGTCAGGAATAGGTACCTTCAAAGAGTTACTTTTGCCAGTAAGGTGAGAGACTGACCTTTCTGTGCATAAGGCATTCCCTGCTTTCCCTTTCCCAGCTCTGTGAGGTGCAACAGCAAGCTAGGAGAAACAAAGCTCCCAAGAGCTTCTTAGTGCTTTGAAGGCTCAGCCGCTTCTTTTCTCCCAAAGCTGTTGTGCGATCAAAGGAGGCAGATGGAAGAGAATCGCTCTGCAGTGACATGTAAACGGAACAAAAAATCCTGATAAGCCCCTGCCATCTCCCTGTGATTTCTGTGAGGTACATGCTGAGCAGAAAACTGTACAGTAGCAAAGCCAGCCATTTTGCATGAGAGACCAGCACGCTCGCTTGCCAGTTGGAAGCAGCTGCCTCTTCTTGCAAGCATAAGCACCAAGCATTACAATTACATTTGCCCAGGCAAAGATTATTTAACAGGAACATCACAAAGGGAAGAAACGTGAGAGTAGACAAAAATATATATACATAAGAATTTTTATTGATATTAAAACTAAGACTGGAAAGGCTGAAATCAAGCCCACAGGCATGAAAATCCCAAGTCCATCATACTTCCCATCTGTTTAATCCTGAGATTACAACTCAGGCATTACAACTGCCCTCAGAGGAGCCTTTAGTATTGCACATCCAACTCATTCCTAGTACACAGAATTTCAACATTCCCTGCCCATATCTGTACATGGTCAGAGAGATCCAACCATCTGTGACTGGTCAAGCAGAAGTGTCCCAGGGGTAAGCACATGAGCAGGATATTGACCTTTCCAGTGAAAAAAATGAAGGTAGAATGAAGTAAGGAAAGAAGAGGTGATGAAAGATTAAATACTTCAATACAGAAACTCTAAAAGGGAGGGGAAAGGAAGGAAAAGCAAAGACCACTGAAGAATATTTAAAATTGAATCTAAATAATATTATGTTCTATTTCCTTCCCATCATTAGCTGCCAGCACGATCACTTTTTTCCTTAGCTTTGACATGAATGTACTCCTCCCCTATGCCATGCAAATAAGGTGAGTATTACAACAGCAGCAAGATCACAGACAACAGCCACAACTGCACCCATCTTCTATTAAGACAGACACATCAACAGACTTCCCAGTCATCAACAGATTTCCCATTCTGATGAAGGGAAAAAATGGTCCTGGAAAAGGGCTGAAGCTGGGGATAGGAGAAGAAAGACAGCTATCACTTTGTGACCTACAGCAAACGTTTATTTTGATGTGGCATTGCCTGCATTCATTTGGAAGCAAAACCTCCAGCATGGCTAAGGAGCGGGGAGAGATGTCCTTGCACACCTTAGGGCACATGTCTTTCCTCACAAAGCTTTGAAAACAGAAGGGTGTCCCCCTCCAGACTGTGTGGTGATCTCTGTAGGGACAGAAATACCTTTGCATCTGGGTGACATAAATATTGGACACAGTGAGCACCCACCTCACTATTACAATTAGAGATATCCAATTACGATATATCATTACTCATTACAGTAAGTAAGTAAGTAGCAAGAAGTAGCATTGCAACTCCCTCTCTAGAAAAGAGCAATACATGTGGAAGCCATTCTGTAGAATTCCCCATTCCCAGGGGCCAGCTCAACTTTAAGTTTCTAATTTTGGCATCTTTCATTTTTTTATATGAATGTCACACAGGAAAAGCAGCCCTAGAAAAGTGGGACCACTTATTAAAGCCTAATTAGCCAAGTAGAAATCACTCATGTCTGCTAAATCAGACTCAAGAGCTTCTTGAGCTTCTTCTTCATACTGACAAACCTAACTGATTTGTACAGTTCCTAGACAGCATTTGGATTCTGTAGGAACAGAGATTACCTTCTACCTCTTCTTGGCCACAGGTTGAGGAAAAGAGTGGAAATTGAAGATCACTAAGGTAGCTGGAATCAGAAGGCCATTTTTCTCATTAGAATGAAGTGCAACACTAAGAAATGAATTGCATGTGGTTCATGCACTAGTAGTTAGCTAATTGCAGCAGCACTTTGACATTGGATTGCCACAGTGCACACTTCACTGAGTGCTGGGTTACACATCAAGCAGCCTCCCAGACAGGGACTAATTGAAGAGCCAGGTGTGGCACTTCACCAGCAAAAGGAGGTTGGCAAGAGATGAAGCAATTACATATGCAGTATATTATTGCTCAAAGAAATAGTGCTTTGTTTCTTGCATTTCAAAATGCTACAGCTTCTATACATTTTGCATATGAATTCTGAGGCTGTTAAAATGTTGGTGAACTCTGAAATAGCATTCCCAAATCAGGGTTCTGGTTCTAGTGGATGAGGTCAGCAAAATAGAAAGAAATTTTTGAAGAAAGTGGGGTTTTTTTCTTTTTTTGGACATTCACCTACCTTTATGTGCCTGTCAAGAGAATCACTGCCTCCTTAGATTCCACAAATCTCTGACACATAGGAGACTGAAAAGCGTAAGCTCACTGTTTTAACAGGGTTTAGCATCTAATTATTTCCCGAAATATAGATGTGTTAATATTGAAACAAATGTTTTTGTTGCAAGGCATCCCCTTGCTCAGACTTTAGAAGTCATGATGTGCTATATCAGAATGAGGGGATTTTATAATGATCTGTCTGTCTTTCCCACCCTCATGCTAACTAGATACATGTGTACTGCATAGGAGGGATTGGGTTTTTGTCTTTTGGTTTGGTTTTTTTTGTTGTGTTTTGTTGTTTTTTTTTTTTAAATCAGTCAGGGAAACAAGAAACTGCAGCTGAGACTGGAATGTGGCACCTTATAAATAAGGCAGGAGACAAGATGCACTCTGATGGCTGAATACAGTAAGGTTATTCAGCTCTAAGCCTGCCTAATCACTGAAGTCAAATATAATGAATTTACTGGTGTGATCAAGGCCCGAGGGAGGGAATTTTCCCCTTTTGCACAAATGGCACCACACGTGGGCCAGGAAATTCCTTGGCCAAGGTGGGGGGTGTTGCTCCAGTGCACACGTACAGGCGATGAGAGAACATCACTCTCTGTGGGCAGCACCACGGGCAGCAGTGCTGGGAACACACCGGGGAGGGGAAGCTCCTGAGCTCTGGAACCTGCAGGGGAGCTCAGACAGGCACTCCAGGGAATCCCAGTGCCATGGCAGAACCTGGAACAAACCATGGTCACTTGCTACGGTCACTTGGAGTCACTTGCAGCACATTACTGAGTTGCTGTTGCAATCAACAGATTTTGGCAGGCAGATCATGGAATTTAAGGCTGTAGCAATCCATTGCAAAGAAAAGTAGTTGTTAAGAAAGCAAAGTGAGAAGATGAGTACCACAGTGAGCACTCAAATACTGTGTCCTGTGCATCCAGAAAGGCACAGGAATATAAGCTGTTTCCAGGGCTGCTGAAATGTCCAAAGATACATTTGGTGCTTTAGATTAATTAGGAAGCTAATAACACAGTGTCACTTTGGCTCAGATTCACTGAGGAAAATAAAGAGAGGAAAGAATATCTTATGAATGGAAATGAATAGGTAAAATGGAGGTCAATATGTTACTTTTAGCAAGCTTAAAAACAAGTCTTATAAAATACTTCTCTATAGAGATGCTTGTTTGGTGCAAAAGAAGCAAAAAGTGGGAGAAGGAAAATGACACACCTCAAATGGATCAACACAAGAACTGTTTTTTTCTTGTAGTACATAGAGTGCAAGGACAGAATTTCCTTGGGGTTTTTTCAAGGCATTCAAATTTCCAGCATGACCATACGTTTCTTGAGACCATTATGCTCCCAGAAAAATTGAAGCTATCAATGTATCTTGTCCATTTCATACCCAGAGACAGGTCATGTCAGCATGCTTTTGTCATCCTGGAAGGGTCAACACATAAGTATGTCCCACAGAAGGTATCTGGGATGGCTGAAAGGAAAATAGCTACCTTCTAGATGAATTTGTGTTAGAAACTTTCACTAACATGCATTTCACTGTCACAGCAAAGACAAAGACGAAACAAAGAGGCCATCAAATATTACTGAAACAAACCTCCCACAGCCACATCACCAGAAAAGCTATGTGCCCCATCTATTCTTACACAACAGTACCAGCTCAGCAAATACACCTGGGAAGATCAGTGGCAACAAAACATCGATTTTGTGCTATTTTCTTTGTCTGTGGTTCTTCTGTATGACAGTCCTCATGTAGCAGGGGACATCTCATGTAGACTGAATCCAGGCTACAGCACCATGAGCTGAGACTGAGCAATTCTACTGCTGCTGGGGAAAAGGAAGAGTGACAGTAAAAACACCGACAGACATCCTAAAGTGCTAAAACACAGGTAAGCAAGCCACCACATGAAATGATGAAAGAGCCACTGGAGTCTGTTTTGTAACAGGCAAAATTTGCCCTGAATCCCTTTTTTACATAAGGAAAAACTCAGCTTCACATCTCATGGTATTGAGGGATGCCCAGAGAAGTTGGGGGTGACCATCCCTGGAAGTGTTCAGGTCAGCTTAGATGGAGCTCTGAGCAGCCTGGTCTAGTGCAGGTGTCCCTGTCCATTGCCATTCTATGCTATAATAAGTGAAAAATGTATGACACCATCATGCCTTGAATAACACATAAAAGATACCTCTAGCATTGAAACATGAAATAATAAGAGTAACTGATGCTATTAAATTACAAAATTAAGTTTATTTTATCAACATTATAAATACTTTTTTCCCTCCATTTAACTCCAAAATGAGATCGTAAAACCAGTACAATGGAACAATTCAGAAGCTCCTCAGTTCTACTGAAAAAGGTTCCCTTTAATAAGAAATTAAAATGGAAAATGACATTTTGTCAGTCCAGCAATCTCAGTAGCTGAGCATCCCTAGGAACTTTGTCATTCAAATGGCACAGTTTTCAAGTGTGTTTGCATGTGTACGTGTACACCTATATACATGCATACTGATACGTATAAATATACATATATATAGTAATATACACACATTAACAGACACAGCCACTGAACAGATGCTTTTAGTAAATCAAAATGCTTTACATGTAATTTAAGTGGACTCCCAGCTGAACACTGGAATTTGGGCCCTGCCCAGTGCAGACACAGTTGTACTGTACTAATCTAGACACCAAGTGCTGCAGAGATTCAATAGATATGTGTCACCTTTAACTGCTGCAGAGTCTGCCTGCTCTCTCCATCCCATCACACTTGAAAAGGGTAAGGAATAGTCCTGCAGCATCCTGGTCCCAAACTGCCCTCTGGGAACCAGCTTCTGATGTTCCTGCCACGCATGAGCCATTGTAGGAAACAAGAGATGTGCTCTGTTACCGACAGATACAAAACATCACCAGTATCTAGTGCATCACGTGTGCAGTGCTTTGGGACACCTTGAACGTTAAAGGCACTACATCCAGCCAGTTCCTGTCCTACATCCAGTGCTGGGGGCTATTTTTATCATACAGTGGCTGTCTCCTACTGAGCACACAGCACAGGCAGCTTTCCAGAGACACAACAGGCTCACTGATCATACCATCGTACTCCAGCCTTCGGTGAAAAAGGCAAGCCACGCTCTCTCGTGCGCTCCAAGTTCCTCTGAGCAGTCCAAATGGCACAAAATTGCTCGGGAAATCTGCCCATCCTGACAAGCTGCTCCAGAGCCAGCCACAGCTGCAGGCACAGCTGGGGACAGAGGGACCAGAAGCAGCTCCCTTATCATAACCCACGTCTGGCCTCTGGAGGCTACCTGTGATTAAAGCAAGCCTTTACTGCTCCCCCTGCTTCATGGGACCAAAGGATCAGGGAGCTGTCACAAGCTCAGTGACCATACTCAGCCTGGCCTCAGCACAAGACAGAGGCAAGCTCCTGTGTCATTGAAACTTCCTCCATTTCTCAGATCAGTAAAGCAAACCAAAAGATTAAAGTGATGGTAACATAATTCTTATTTTCATCAAATATATAGCAATATTACAGTAGTGTATTTTCTCACAGCTGGAAAATGAAGCAAGGCCTACCATGAAACCACAGTGTGGGGATCTTTCCTTGTGGAAATATCACATACACCAAAACTATATTCTGATTTTTTATTTTAATGGTTGCCAAATTCTGTTCTAATATATACACAAATGTTCTCCACAAGTCCCTGGATAATTATCAAGGGAAGTAATTTGGCTTTCATATTTTATTTTTTAAATGAGAAAGGTAAAGACAGAAAATAAGACAAAATACATTTCATGTCGCCATTTATCTATAGATTACAAATATATATAGTTTCCTTCCAGAGGAAGAAATACTAAAGAAATATTTTGCCCATATCAAATAAACTTTTGAAAAGAAGAAAAAGAAATTAAAATATATTGTTCAGCTCCCCTCTCCCCACCACAACAATCACTCGTGGTTAAAAAAAAAAAAAAATTGCATTCATTTGATTTTCTGCACATCTACCAAAGAAAAAAAACTTATCTGGATAATGACCTGAGTTATTTCCATGGTTTCCAACTGTATGCAACCCCGATGATCACCATCTATCAGAGAGCAACCCCTAGCAAGGGGTGCAAGAACGTACACTGGTGGATCTTTTGAATCAAACGACAAAGCAAAATTCAAAAACGTATTGCAAGAGTTATGCCAAAAGTCAGCCATGAGCATCTTCATGGGCACTGGGCTGACAAAGTAGAAGTTCTGCTGTTTTGTCAGCTGAGATATCTGTAGCAATTGGAAACCCAAAGGTGAAACATTTTTTTTATGCCTGTGTATTTGTTTGCGTTCTCTTCTTTTATGGTTATAAGACAGAGAGTAGACGAGTACAGAAGATACAGCTGGCCTTCACAGCAGCTGAGCTTTACATTTCAAACCTGTGGTGGGTAACAAGGCAAAGAGCTGCTGCCTGGCCTTCTCCAGGGACAGACTTCCCAAAACTTTTTTCCCTTGAAAAATCAGATTGTTTTCAGGTTCATTCAAGGAATGTTTCCCCATTCCCAATGTGACCAGACCAGTGCCCATTTGTTTGTTGGCAGCAGCGAGCCCAGCTGGCTGCTGATGTTCCAGGCCTCCTTCCTCCCTCTGTCTGTGCTGCAAAAGGGACTAGGCCTGTCAGTCAGTCCATCAGAATTCCCTCTGTTTTGCACAAATCTCCCCCCAGTGTAAAGCCCATCTTTTCAGGAGGAAAGAACAGCTATCAACTTCTTGGCAGGCCTGAAACCTGAGAAGAACTGGGTCAGCCATTGCACGCACAAAAGTGATATGAGAAACCTTCCTGGTGACTTTCTGCTCTGCCATTCAGCATGGTAAATCCCAAATAACTCCTTTCCATACAAATTCCTGTCTCATGAGGATACCATAACCGTATGCCCAACGATAAGGTTGGGTTTTGTCACTGCTGTAAATCTAACCTTGCCCCACGCCCTGGGAAACAAGGAATAAGTCCTCTCTGAAAGCAAGGAAACTCCATGGTGGCTGAGTACTGACAACACAGCTTCCAAGAGGATGGCAAGGGAGGGAATGTAGCTGGTAAAAACACTGGATATTTCTAAAGGGCATCCAGAGCTCCTCAAATATTTTGCTACTGCCTGACCATTTGTGAAGACAACACAGAGATAACAGGTAATATTTAACTGATGAGAAGTGAGGGGAACAGGAGAATAAAAGCAATGCAGGAAACTCTAAGGATGGAGGAGAGCTTGGTTGGGTGGCTTAATGTACCAGTTAGTTTGGATTTTGTTCCCCCACACTCTCTTTACTCTTTCCTTTTTTTTTCCCTTTCTTTAATAAATTGTACAGATGAACATGGGAGAAGTTCATGCTACTTGCTGGAAGCAATAAAGGTAAATTTTTGTGGCCTATGGATTCCACAGACCTTTGAGTGTCCCACCTCTTCCATCATGGGCTAACTTATGGAACATAACCGTTCAGCAAGACTCAGTAGCCCTTAGAAACTGGTGGCATGTCCTCAGGTATTTTCCTCGAGAGTGAGAGACACATGGATTCCATCAGTTTCTTCCTCACACAATGCCCGAGTGCCTCAGGTGCAGTCTCGAGATTTCCAGGGATCCTCTTGGACATTTTCAGACATCAGACTGCAGTCTCTAGATCCTCATGGGAAACCATTTGATAGTTTTGTCGACTCTCCAGGTAGGAGGCCAGATCCGGATCACCAGCTTGCTGAGCCCTGTCACGAGGGGTCTTACCCTGTAGCAAGAAACATGAAGAGAAAGTTTTGTGCTAACACGTCTAGAACAACAGATGATTTCTAGGCAGAAGACAATTAACAAGTCAGAAGCCACTTGTCTGGATTTCATCTGTTTCAGAAAGCTTTTTGCAACATAAAATTCTGGCATCTGAACAAGAGATCATAGAATCATGGATGATCTCTCTTCCCATTATAGGCTACCCCATAAAGCCCAAGCAGGTAGGAATTGATTTTGATTGCCTGGCTGCAGCAAAGGTGCTTCTGACTCTGGAGTCCAGAGAACCAACTCACTCTCAGCTGCTGCCTACAGGGTGCTTGTGCTCAGAAACTCCAGAGAGGCAGCTTCTGGACCATGTTCCTAAGCAATCAGATTGTTGTAATGGCAGAATATTCCTTGGATTTAATTTTTCCCAAATTTCTTTCTCAGTCAAGCTTACACCAAGAGAGTGCTGGGGTTAGTGTGACATCAGTGGGCATAGGGCCAAGCCAGGGCAAAAGAAAATAGTTAGTCATCCTCACAAAACAAGTCAGCCACAATAATCCAGCCTCACAGATGCTGTGCAATCAGAAACCAAGGCTTCTGCAGGTGGTCCTTGCCCACAGGCCTCTCTTTTGACCACACAGGAGGAGGATACAGTGTGCCATGGATATGTCTCATTTGCACCCAGCAAATGACTAAACTAACCAAATAGTTAGAAGCCGGGCTCTCACTATGGCTACAATAACCCATGTTTGGGACTGAAGTCTCTTGAACTTGTTTAATCAATACAGTTTTCTCTACAAAAATAGCTTGCTTAAGAGGAGCTGCCCTTGGCACACAGGAGGAAGCCTCAGTCATGCAAACAGCAGGGATGGATGCTGGTCTGTCTTGCTCGGCTGCAGGAGATCGTAAGTGGTTGATGGAGCTGCATTACCTTGGAGTCTGTCTTTCTCAGAGAGGCTCCCGCATCCACCAGGAGCTGGCAGACGGCGCGGTGGCGCTGGCAGGCTGCCTTATGTAATGCTGTCTCACCCCTAGACCAAAGTACAGAAACCAGCAGTGAGACACATCACACCAATGTACATTTACGAAGCATGAGGTGCAGAGGATAGACACAGAAGGATGCTGCATTTCTGCGAGGTTCCCTCTTGCTGGCAGGGGTAGACTTGTGCACTCTCTCCCTTAGCATCTACATCCTTTGACTCAGTAGGAAAGCCTGCAACGCACAAATAGCAGACGAAGAACTTCTGAGGGATGGGAAAGAAATATGCACAGATTTTATGTATTCAGAGGACTGAATGTCACATTCCCATCCAACCACCAGCTCTGTTAACTGCTGTAAAGGCCACCTTCCTATTTCACAGCAGGTGAAACAGCAACAGGATTTGTTTCTTCCTGCAATTTCTTTCTTCAAGCTCATTCTTGGAGTCATCCTAGAAAAAATCCTACCCATCAAAGCTATGACTGGTGCACTTGCTGCCCTGGTTCTGATACCCTGCTCCCTTGGATGTATGAGAGCAAGAACTCTCATGTGTTTTCCACCACTGGACTGCTCAGCTACTCGGGAAGATTGAATACATGCTTTTCAGAAAGAGAAGACTGTGTAGTGGGAACACATTTGTTGCAAAACTTCTCACTCGGACTGGAGCTAAGTCTGACAGGATTCTGAAACTGACTGAAACTGACTAACTCTTTACTGAAAGCAAAGAAATCTATCTAGATTTGCCTAGGAAGAAGAGGAAAGTATGCTTTGAGTGGGTTGAAAAGGAGTCCTTAGTACCAGCACCCAACAAGCCATTACATAACCTGTGAAATAACAAATGACAAGAAATACTTGTAGCAGCTCAAATCTTGCACCTATCTACACAGAGTGCATAAAGGAATCTCAGCCCCCATCCATGACAGGGGAAGCTGACATATTAAGAGGCAACCTTGTAATAAATATGCCCTTGCTGCATGAGAATTAGTATCAGACTAGGATACTCTCCTATTTCCCCTTGAGGACCAAAAGACAAATTCATACTGCCAGTTACAGCTTGAACCTTCCCTTTCCAAGAGATAGAGGAAGAGGAATCCTTGTAAAGGGAAACCCTCACAGCTATGCTGACACTTTATGTGGTTGTGCTGCTCTCTGGATGAAAAAAACCTGGCAGTCCATCCAGTCCCCGTCACTTCTGGACTTGCACCTTGTGCAAAAGGTGTTCTCTGTTCGCAGAGGAGAACACTGTGGGATGAGAAATGGTAGGCTTGATCCCTGGGAGAAAGACTCCTTTTGTTTTGCATGTATTACACATATTTTCCAGGATTATTATGCTTCCCTTATGTACCTTTGTAAAACTTTGGTTATACAAGTTGCAAAAAAAATGGGAATTGGAAAGGAAAGTAATTTGGTTGGGTTGGGTTGGGGTTTTTTATATAAGAACAGAGCTGATTGATGTTTTAACTACTTGATGGAAACCTTCAACTGCACAAATCCTGGCCACTTGGGAGAGCTATGGCAGAGCACCCTGGAAGAATCAAGAAGGGACTGGAAAAAAAGACGTAGAGCAAGAAAAGTAATTTCCTGATTTTTGGAATTTACTCTTCAGGTTGGTCCCTTAGTAGCTTGAGACCAGAAACATGAAAACACAAGACAGAGCTTCTATTCCTCTAGAAACATTAAGGAAGCATGGGAAGCAATAGGGAGAAAGTCCTCTGCGAGTCCAAGTTGTTTAGAAAGGTTTGTTTTAAGCAAGAAAACCACATATGAGGTGGTTGATGGGTGGTGTTTAGGGGGCATTCTGTTTGTTTGTTTTTGAAGAGCTGTGCTATTTTACAAGCTTTTTCCTATTTAACAGTTTGCATTTGAAAAGCAAGAGGAATCTGCTACTTTAACGCACATAACGTGAAGGACAGAGTAGGTTGTACTTACGTTTCACTGTCTGTCATGTCCAGTAATTCAGCTGGACCTGCAAAAGATAGTCAGGTATGTCATATAGCATTTGTCTGCATGACAAAAAAATATGTCTACCAGGAGAAGATTCACTGTAAAAATATATAAAAGAAGCCAAGTGAAAGCTCAACTCGCAAAAATATATCAAACTACAGTGTAATATTTGCTTGTGTGAGCCCTTGCACTAAAAAAATTCTGAATGCACAGTCACTGCTGGAGTGTCAGCAACAGGAGTAGCAGCCTCTAAATTATACTGGGAATGAATATTCATGGAGTTTATTTTCTCACTCTTCACCTTGCTCAATTAAGTGGTTCACATAAGTACAGTACATTGAAAATGCTGATATACTGGAAACCCTGATATATTGCAAGTTAAAATCTATTGTTGGTGTTAGAGGGAAAATGTCATTAGGAAGTTGAAATTAGCCAAATTCCATCCTGAATGACATCCCTGTGCTACTCCATTTAATAGCGTTACACAAAATGTAGATCAGGGTGGAATATTCCCAGCGGTCCCTATATTGATATGCAAATCCTGTACTCTACTGGTTAGCAATGATCAGGAAAGTAAGATTAAGAAAGCAGAAAAGATTTTTGTTAAGTGAGGAAAAAAATAATACATTTATGTTAATGTCCTTTTGTCCTTGATATTCACTACAGACAGATATGTATAGCAGCAAATTCCATCGCTGAATTACAGTGATATGGAAAGGCTAGGATCTGGATGTCACTTGAAAAAAACAACTTTTCCTTTGCAGTCTGTCATATTCTTCTCTCCACTCCTCTGGAGTGTAGTGTTAGATGGTATAGGGCAGTTAGCAAGGGGAATAGGGAGACTTTACAAGACATTTCCTTCCTGCACATGAATATTTCTCCCCAGCACTCTGTGACTTTGAAATTCAAGTCCTCAAGAGCTTACAGCAAATCTCACCTGAAACTGAGGAATTTCACACTACTTGCTTACAAAGGCCTACACACAACCTCTGTACACTCCTTTCAGTCTGAGTGTGTGTCAAAACGTATCACAGCAGCCGGTCTTTACCTCACTGCTTTTACAATGTACACATGGAGTATCACTGGGGCTCCTGGAGCTTCTCATCTCCTGTCATCATGAGAAAGGGTGGTGCTTAGTCCTCAGTGCACAGGGCTTTGTGTACCACTGCATACTTGTCATGACAGTTCTCCAAACTCAGTAGCCACTGCCAATTATTGAACACACACTGACTCTACACATCCACCACACATCCTCATCACATCTGGCAGTTCTGTGTTCACTCCTGCCCATCAAAAAGAAGAATCAGTCTCTACCCCTGAGCTCCCAGGATCACAAAGTGTAAAGGGGGATAAGCAGAGCCTCTTGTTGAGTGGAAAAAAAGATAATGCCTGAGAAGCTAAAAAGATAATTCAAGAAACACATATGAAGAAAATTATTCCTTTATATTTCCTAGAAGAAAATCGTGTCCTCTCAATACATAAAGGTAATTTCCCATAGCTTCCTGCAATGCCACATAAGCAGGAATGGCTTGCAGTGTGTTAGAGAAGACACTGACACTTCTTATTTCTGCTCATGGTTGGAGCAAGGAAGGTTGTATTGTTGAGGTGGAAGAGGGTGACAGGTCTGGCTTTATCGGACATAGAGATACTTGCCCAAGTGTAAGAAGCTGTTAAAAGGTAAGTAAAGATGGTAAAACAGAGAGTAGTTAGAAGAATATAACCTGAGAGGGAGAAGAAAGCTGGGGCAGAGTGGGTCTGGAGAGAAACCAAAGGTAAAGGAAAGCTGGGGTGAAGCAGAAAGAAATCGCAGGGCTAGGGCAGAGGAGCTTGGTGCTCAGGACTGTGAGGGCAGTCTGTGAGTACAGACCTGAGGAGATGACAAGTACACCCTGCCTAAGTGCAAAGGGTGCTCTCCTGGATACTGTCCCAAATTAAGCATTTCATGGGAGAGCCCTGACTCCATCCCAGTCATACATAAGGGCCAGATACTGGGGTTAATTATTAGCTGCACAACGTGGTACCAGGATTCTTTAATTTCATTCTCTCTGGCCTATCTCTGAAGCTGGAACGTCCCAACTCACAGCCTGAGCTGTGCCCTTTACTTCTTTATTTTCACTTGTGCTTCTCTTAAACCATCTCACGCCCTCCTCCTAATTCCCTTTCCCCTCTTTTTTGGACCTCATTTTTATATCAGTCTCCCTGGCGCTGCCAACCGACCATTCCAAATCCCCCTCTGCCCGGGGACAAAAGCTGCACAGATGTGGGAAGGGCTGGCACTGGGAAAGCTAACGGCACTGTCATCCTGACCCAGCGGGGAGGCGGCTGTTTTACTCTGGGACAAGAGGCAGAGAAAGAAAAGGGGACCAAGGCACAGAGAGAAAGAGGACAAAATAACCCAATAGAAATCCGGAAGGGAAATGCATGAGTGAGATTTCTATCAAGGAAAACAGCAGGGGAGGAAATAAAAACAAAAGATGGAAATGTGTGGAGAGGTGGAGGGAGAAAAAAAAAGAGAGAGAAAGGGAAAAAGAGACTGGGGGGCTGAAGAATGGCAGGATGGGGACGGGGGACGGGNCGGGGGACGGGGTGGGGGGAGAAGTTTGCATGAAAAGAGCTGAAAAGCATGACGCACTGAGGGGAAGCCCAGCTGAGATCACTCTCTTTCCTCAACATCGCCCATAGACTGTCTGTGCAGAATTATTAACTTTTTTCCTTCTCTCCTTTTGCCCTCTTTTGCTCCACCAAAGCCCCTCTCCAGTTTCTCAGAAGGCAAAGCAGCCCGAGTATGGGTATGGGAGGAGGGAAAGCAAGGAGACACTCAAAAGCAGCTGCTCCTTCGCTGAGCTCACTACAACAAATTTAAAAAGGAAAAAAAAAAATACTTTGACCATATTACAGAGGCATTTCCAAAATATACAGCACCACATATTCTTGAAAGGCCCCTGAGCCCACAGCATAGCCCTCTCCAATGGATGTGGATACAGCTACCCACAGGAGACCCAGAGATATTAACCCCTGCCAGTCCCATGTCCTGTCAGCCCTTCAAAGAACCAGGGAAGAAGGGTATTTACTCTAAGAAGTAATGTTAGACATTATCAGCATTTCTGGGTGTTTATCTGTCAAAACCCTCTTTGTTTAATATCCTGATTGAGATTATTATCTGGGGGATAATGGATGTAGATCCTTCCCTTCAAAGGAGGAGTATTTTTAAAATAACACTAAACTGGAAATTCAGAACTATTTCTAGCCTTTCCCCAATTCCACACTTTTTGCACCTGATGTGAAAATTAACAGTGTTTCTTTCTGCTAGTGTCTTTCAACTTAGAATTTCCACTGTAATATAGAGGCTAGTCAGGTTATGGGAGCATCCCTTCCTACATGTCCACCAGCCATGTTGCCCTAAAATTTGATAAACTTGAAACTAAAATAGACTATGTTATACCTTGTGCCTTCTAGAAAACTAAACTGTTTTCTGTTCAGGCCCCTCACAAATGACCCCTACTCTAAAACATTCCGCAAATATAGACATACTAACAAGTGCCATACAAACACACTCTCATTCAGTGTTGCTTTCTGATGACTATTCAAACTTTGTCCCTGGCACACATCTCTGTCACCACAGAATTTGCTTTCCCAAAGCCTTCTAAGGAACTTCTGAATCTGGTCAGCATGAAAATCCAGATTCACTGATGGCTCTTAACTCTGGACTTTGCAGTGTTAAGATTAATGAAAGCACCATCTTTTTTTTCTTTTTTTTTTTATCAGGATATGCCTTCTAGTGAAGCAAGGACATTGAGTTTTGACCTGGACAGAAAGGTTTAGGATGGGATGCCCTGTATATACTGTCTGTTACATCAGAAGTTCCCACCACAACCTCCCAAAGCAACTGTAAACATCTTTCTTCTTTTAAAATCAAAATACCATAGATGAACTAGAAAATTTCTGCTTGTTTTTTGAATGTCTAGAGAAGACAAGGACAAGGCAAATGGAATAATTTGTATAATGTTTATAAATTATAAATTTTTCACAGCTGCCAGATAAGGACTCCAATCCAAGTTCGATACCAAGTGCAAATGATTTAGAAGGCCCTTTTTCTAACAGAGGTTCTTAAGCCTTCCTTAATTCTGCTTGTGTTAAGCAAGTAGACAGTTAAGTCTTCTCTAATGTACATGTGTTAGGATGTGATACAGCAGCATTAAAAAGCTGTGGTTCTGATACCTACTAAGTTTGGCCCTCAGTTTCTAGCTAAGCATTTCTTACCTCAGCTACAGACAAGATTTTGAAGCTGACCTTTCTACTAAAAGCAAATGATTCCTGATTCAGGTGGGCAATCTTGAACAAGTGTCTCTGTGTATCTGCCCTTCCTGCACAGGGGATAGAGACAAACTGTTTTGCTGGAGCAGCAGCCAGAACAACTCTTCCTGTAGCAGCAAGCAGCTGTTGTCCTACACCTACTACATTGGTGCTTCAGATGCTATTCCAGGCTTGTGCTGGGCCACTGCAAATTATCTGGCAGGACTGCACAGCAATCCCCCTGTGTGACTCATCTCTGCTATTTCTAATTTAGGATAGGTTATTTTCCTCCCCTTAGCATCTGAAATCATTCTGATCATGATCACAGAATAACCTTTCATATAAATGTGCCCTGCATGTTTTGCAGAAAGCCATCTCCACAAAGGACAGCTTTAGCACTACACCATTTTCCTTCCTAGGAAAACTAGTGTTATTCTAGTTCTATGGGTACAACTCCTGTATTGCATTGGATTCACCCCACTGTTTTTCATATTAGATAGTTAAAGATTGTGGAGAGTAGGTTTTGTCTTCTTTTGTTGCTGCTGTTTTTCAGAGATATTCAGGTTTTTCCCTGTGCTAATAATAGATTTTCTTTGCTGTGTGCTTAGGGTATTTTACAGTGGAACTCCTATTATCATTCACTATACTCAGCCATGTATGGGAAGCAGGCAAACTCCAGAGGAAGTGTGACTGGGCAGAGGTAATTGCCAGAACAGAAGTAAGACTCATTTTTATGAAATTTTTATGGGTGGATATTGGCAGAAACAAGAAGAAACAGGGAAACCCTTAGATATTAGTAGCATTGATGAGGTAGTATACAGTAATTAATGCTGAGAAGATGCCAAATGCCAGAGAATGCAAAGAAAAACAAGGACATTATGATGATGATGATTCAGCAAGAGAGCTCATTTGTGGCTGAGAAGTGCCCAGAGTAGAAATGAGTTTCATTAATTGCTTGGGGGGAGAAGACAGGAGGCCTCTATTAGATTGTGCATTGTCCCATGCACTCCCTGATCCCCAAAGAATGTTAAACAAACAATCATTTGGAGAAGCCCAGAGGACATATGTCTGGAAAGCTTCAAAAGCTTCCTGCCATCCTTGGGGATAAAAAAGGGAGAGAGAAACTGAGCTGACATTTGCTCAACCTTCTGATTTGTCTTTGTCTAACAGTCCGTAATCCCTCACATTTCTCTATTTACTTCAAAAATTCCCATGGATTCCCTGCTTACATTCTTATCAGCTTAAACTATCTCATTTTAAACCTTCACCAAAAGAACAGTAACTGGGTCAGACTGTGACTAAGTTACAGTATATGTGTCTAATAAAAATCCTAGAGAAGCATCTATGACAGTGAATTGGCACAGGTCATGTGCAGTGTGAAAAGAGACCAGGGGCAGTAAGAAAATAAAGCAAAATAATGCCTGTCTACAGCATTCAGTGGCACATATGTGCACTGTGACTAATGTGATAATCCAGAGCAGTTAAATAGCAGTTAAATAGGTAAGGCTTGCTAGAGCTGGTGAGAAAACCAGACATTATTTGGATATAAGGCCAACTGCACTGACCTATCCATGTGTAGGTATCTATACATAGAGAAGTAAAAGAAGAATTCAGCCCCTCTCAGTCAGCTTTTGGGGCACTGTTCAGTTGCCCACACACAGATATTTTGTGTCATTTGATATACCTACAGGCAAACCTTGGGATGCATTTGGAATGACAGAGATGCTTGCTTGGGCTTTGGCTGTCAGTGCAGTTTGGGCCTCCTCTTGGCCTTGTATGTTATCTTGTAGGTCCTAGCAAATGTCCTGGATATCCAAGGGCAAATGACATTAGACACTCATGTTTATCTAAATTAATAATATGCAAGGTAACTGTTGCCTGAATCACTTTCTGGGCTCCAGTGACTACCTTGACTAAGATGTCCTTTGAGTTAGTCTTGCTAGAAGCCTGCTGCTATTAAGGATGCCCTCTTCCCTTCCATCTGCCACCAAAAGTGCCTCTCTCATACCAGAGCAAATGAACTAAGTCACAGATTGCTGCTGACAGTACAGGAACTGGGACCTATAGAATACCTGACATCTATACCTAAATTAGGGGTCATGCTTGAAGAGATGCATTGTTGCTTCTTCCTTTCTTATGAGTTGTGCTTTTTTTTCTTCTCTCTGTACAATTTGAGCAATACCTTGGAGCATCAGCTAACACTTATTCTAATTGCCAGGGGTAGTCTCTGTGTTCATGCTAACACTGCTGCTGAAATACTGTAGCTGATTTTGATATTCAGAAGCCAAAATAGCCATTGATATTTTGCAGTGGGGTTGGAGAAGAGTTACAACTAGAAAACTTTTCCAACAGTGAAGGAGGCTGATAACTGTGACTTCATCTCTATGTGCAGAGCAGTGACTATATTACTGTGCCACTGTCCAGCAGTGAGGGAACAAGGTTACAGTGGTTTGACAGACAGAAGCTCCTAAATGTGATGCCTCAGACTCAAAAAAAAATGCTGCATAGCCTGCAATCTCTGCTACTGATAAAGATAAGAAGAATGAAAAGGAAAAAAAGGGCACTGGCATGATCACAGTCTACAAGAACAAAATAGAGATCATAAGTTTTTGCTGTTGGGTGGTCTTGAATCTAAGAGACATAATCTTCAAAGGTCGGAATGGATGCTAGGTGAATTCATCTAGAAAAAAGTAAGCAGAGTCTTGACCAGTGTGTTACTAAATGCTGAAATAATGGCTGTGGTTGTATGGGCTCCTTGTAAATGTTTTAATAGAGATTAGGTGCTTTCTACAACATATGCTCTAGGTGAAAAACAGTTCAGAGGATTCCTGTGCCAGAGGTTCTAACTAGAGCTTCTCACTGCTTCTTCACAACCCCCCCAGCTGATGCAAACGTGAAAACACCATCCTCCTCAAAAGCCATTCTAATTCTTCCTTCACTCTTTATCTGGAGCCACCACTCTCATTGCTACCCCATTCCCAGGCTCCTGCTCACACATGCTGCAGGTGGACATTTCACTGAGGGACACCACAGATGGGTGAGGCCACTTCCAGCAGCCTGGGGTGGTTTTGCCTGGCTGACACTTGGCTGGAGTACAGCTCTCTGTGGATTTGCCCACTGGGACTCACCATGCTCCAGGATGTATTTCACAATCTCGCCGTTCCCAGTCTTGGCAGCATGATGCAACAAGGAGCAGTGATCAGGACCTTGGATTAACAAATTGGCTCCTTTTTTACAACATTCTATGAACTGGAAGGAAAAAAAAAAAAGAGAGAGAGAAAAAAATGATACAGAAGGATAAGATGGGAGGAGCAGAAAAACAAATATGTCAGTAAATTCTTTACTGGTTCTCATTGTAAGTCAGTACCAAAAGAGAATAAAATAATATAAAACATTAATTTAAATCCAGCTTTTAGACCCTGATATAAAATATCTGAACCAGAAGTATTGACAATTATATGGGTAAAGGAGAACAGTCTGTATTTCCTAAACAATGAGACATTGCTATTCTACTGGTGATGATTTATTGTTTGCTAGGAATGCTTGCAAACCACATCTGGTAACACTGTTGGGATATATTAAAATATATATACTTCATAGAAAATCCTGGCTTCTTTGCTGAAGACACATTTTTCCTCAGCACAAGGGTCAAAGATTTTCTGACTAAATCAGAAAACTCCAACTCAAAATCCCACAAGGATGTGAGGTGACTGTCAGGGACCTCCCTTCTCACAGTGCCCCCTGTTCAGGGCTGGCCAAGGAGGAAGCACTATGTGGGGTAAGAATGAGAGGGGAACAGCAACCAGGCAGGTCTCAGAAATGCTGCAAACTTTGGGTGAGGGGGGTGGAATTTGCAGTGCAGATCATTGCAGAAAAAGGAGAGAATTGCTACAGTGGGTACTCATTTATGATGCAGTACATCTGAAGAAGGGCAAGGAGTTTCCCCATCAAAGCCAGCTCAGGAAAGAGGTTTTCAAGAAGCGTAAATGAGACAATACTTCCATGACTGCTTGAAGGACTGCTCCGCAGATGCTGTGGCCACAAGTGCTGAGGCAGTGGTATAGAAGGGGCACCTGCAGGCAAAAAGTTGGCCTACAGCACTGTCATTTTTACAAATGGCTCCAAGCTGGCTTCTCACAGACAAAATTGCAATCATTAGTCACAGTCCTCATCCAAATTCGAGGGTATGTTTTCAGATCCTGACTTGGCTACTGAGCCATGCAGCCGGAATAGCTGTCTGACGTGGGACTTCAGCCACTGGCACAAAAAATTTCACATGAGTAGTTTACCTACCAAACTCAGTATACCACTACACATTTTGAGACATCCATCAGGTGATAAAACAACCAGCTGAGATTTGTTCTACTTGGTCTGGTGGTTGCCTAGGTAGACTTGAGTGAGCTAGCACTTGGGGGCTTGGTCACCAACCTCACTGGTGTAAAATATCCTTTCCTGTGTAAGACTGTCAGAACTACCCTGCTGTTCAACACTGCCAATATAGTAATTTCCCTGTTAGTAACTGGCACATTGCTCCATGCAGAGGGCTCTGAATCCTGTGCAAAAAGGTGCTGTCTAACACCAGATCTTATTCATGCAAATTTCACACCTCACCTGAATGAGGTGTTCCCCTAGTATTCAGGGTTTCCTGGAAAGGCTGTAAAATGGCACTTGCCAGAAGTTCCTACAGCAGCCTATTTATGTTTTGAGCAGAGGTGTAATAAAATTTACAGTATATCTCACTGGCAAGAAACTGTGAATAAGTGGACAGTTGATACTCTGTACCTACCTTCAGTAGATCACCAGATATGACTGCCTGTAAAAGTGCTGCAAAAGACAAAAAGAAAACTGATGTCAGGCTGAAAGCATTATGCATACAGCTTCACATCTGAGGACATAGCTCACAGCATGTGCAAGTTAAGACTGACATCCCTCAGTCCACTTGCATTCTCATGTACTACCAGAACCAGTGCAAACCCTGCACGGACACATATTGGAAAAGCAGAAGAGAACCCATGGTGATGAAAGCTATATGGGCATCAAGCCATCATTTCCAACGTTGTCCTGGAACTGCAGGCTTTTGTCTGAATTTTTCACTTGAGACACTTCTGAGACCTTTCAGTATTGTCCACAAGGTGGACAAGGTCAAGTCTCCAGCACTAAAACCATCACTGGAAAATACCAGTGTTATCTGCACAGAGAACCTGAAACTCTCTACAGACCTGTCAGACTTTCTCATACTGATAGTGGAGTAGTCTGTCAGTGCCCAATACACTGAGAATCCCAAATTGTATATGATTGACAAGAGAGAAATTTCTTAACAATTACTTGTATTACAAAAACATTCTGAGATGCTAGAGGGGAGAAAATCCCCTGGGTTTGGCAGGCAGAGTCAAAGACAGAGCAAGAGCCAGTTCTCACCTTGTCAGCCTTTGTATTTTAAACAGACATAGAAGGAAAAAGAGACAAAGTGGACAAGGGCTCACAACAAGGCAGGACAGAGCTGCAAAGAGCTGGGAGCTTCTCACTACTCACTACTGTCTGCCCTGAGTCTGTTAAGACAAAAGGAAGGCAAAAGCCTGGGACTCCATTGCCCAGAGAAGCTGTTACAAACCTATCACTATGTGACTATCTCCTTCTTTTCTCCTCCTTTTCCCTATCATGAAATATACTGTAAAAAGCAATGATGAATAATCTTTCTGAGATTAAATGGTTTGCATCTTAGAGAGCACTTAACATCTGCCTGTGTCTAAGCCCATTTCCATCTTTGCATCTAGGCAGTGCAATCAAATTAAGCATTTGCTCGAGCACCATCCTTGATAAAGGTGCCGAAAGTTCACGTAAGCAGGAACAAGGCAGGAAAGAGAAGCACAGTATCGCCCTGCCTCTGAAAAATAACCCACAGGAAACTGCACAGTGGGAATTCCATGATGAGCATGCTACGCTTTCAGAAATGACAAGGCATCCAAGCTAAACACTGCAGAAGAGGAAGGATGTTCAAAGGCAACTCAACAAATGCCCCTTTCTTTGAAAACACCTGGGGCTATGTGGCTTTCTAGTCTCTGTAAAGCCTCATACCCCAGCCATGCAGCAGTGGGAAAAGCAAAACTCCAGTCCAGCTAAGTTCTGTCTTGAGAAAGCAGCATCAGCAATTCTTGCAACTTCAGATTTAGGGCAGTTTTTCAGTGGCCATGAGTTAAACTAAATCCTAAAAATCCCCCTGGCAACTGTGAGAGAGAGGACACACAGATTTTAGGAATAGAAGGCGGCAAACACCAGCAGGTAAGAGCTAGAAAATTCCTCCATTTTTATTTTCAGTGGTTTACATAATCATTTTTTCCCAATAGTTCTAACAATTTCTTAGCTCAAATTAATAGCAGAACACAACTCATGTAATATCTTTTATCTATTTCCCTCTTTTTTTTTTTTTTGGTCAATCTGGTCTCACTGACACCTTTATTCTCTAGGCTACTGCAGTCTGCATTTGTATAAATATCTTGCACTCCTAGCATGTGAAAATCAAATGAGCTGGTGACATGAGTTTTTCCTTGCTTTCTACATCCAATTTCTTAAGACATGGCTTCCCTGAAGTCACTTTTCTGAGAGGCAGTGATACATTTTCTTATGCAAGCCACGCTGAAGATTGCAGTTCAAAAAAACCGGAAGAGAGAGCTATGATTTTTTGAAAAGCCTGACAAGATGTGAAAAATCTTCTATGCCGAATATCCATAATCAGAACTGGTTTGGTGATAAGGCTATTAGGATAAAGCAGCTCTAAAACAAATTCAGCATAATTAGACCAATCTTTTCATCTCTTTCCTAAGCCTCAAATCCAGCAAAGCATTTAGGCAAGTGCTTAGCTTTGAGCTAATTACATTCTTTTCACACCAAGTCTACCTGCACTCTTAAAATTAAGTGCTTTGCTAGCGTTGAACTTATTGGATAAATGAATACGTTACAGATCAACAAAAGCAGCTGGCATAACAAGAGATTAGTCTACAGTAAAATAATTCAGAGCTATAGAGCCAAAGACACGAAGATTTAGAAGCTACTGAGCTAGAAATGGAGAAAGGTTCTTTGGAATTGGGAACATGTTTACATAAATACATGAATATTGCTTAGCACAATAACCCCATAGACCCAAATGGGACTGCTGGGCATATTGAGGAGGAGGGTGAAGATGGCAAAAATCACCTGGTTGTTAAAGAGGTGGTGAAGCAAGCAAGCAGATGGCATTGACAAGAGAGAGCAGACTGAGAAGTGGAGAAAAATGCTGTTAACATGCAAAGCCAGGCTAGTATAAAATTAGAAATGTTAAAGTGAGAATTATTTTATTTCTTCCAAGCAACACCGCACCGCTGGTGTAATATGTAAAATGAGCTATGCCACTGTTTTATCATATACAATATACCTTCAGGAGTTAAAGATGTCTCAAAAATTACTTTATTTAATTAATATTTTAATCAAGTCATTATTTTCTCAATTTATCCTAAGAAAAGCATATCTCATCGCTAATAAAAGTGTTTTATTGCCTTTTTTATTTATTTAGCAGGTAGCTTTATTGCTGATGTAAGGTGACAGCTTGCCAAAACTGGCAACTGGAGTGCTCTGTTAATGTATTGAGGATGCACTCAGTCCCCAGGCTGCCTCCTTAGCAAAGCTCTAACTACCCAACTTAGAAAAGAATCTTCATAAAAAGAAAAAAAAACCAAACCAAAACAAAACAAAAAAACCCTACCCAGGCCTGCCAGCAAACACAAAAAAATGGCTAGCAGAACAAATACCAAAAACCCACCCACTCCAAAATAAACACCCTCATACACACATACACACCTGACTTATAAATTATTATTGAGCAGATATGAGTGGATAATGCACCAACAGAAAAAAAGCCATGTTGAAACGGTTGCTAATTGAATTGTGGTAATGCTGCAAGCTAATAGAGCTTGAGACACCGGATAAACAACTACTAGTACACACTCATGCTGAAAAGAATACTTTTCCTAGGGCTTATACCATTCATCTAATTTCTATGTTAGCGTTCATTGCTTCCATTGGAAACAGATATTTTTATTTCATATTCTAAAAATCTATGCTAATGCCACTGAGTCACAACAAACATTTTTGTTTCCCAGACAAAATTACCTTCTGAAATAACAATTGCTCTCTGGCTCTGCATGTGAAGCCAGCACCATGAAAACAGTGCTGCAAAGTCAGTCTTTAAACACTGGGCATCAGAGAAAGGAGGAGCGAAGTATTCATAACCCATACCTTCAGAGGCTGCAAGATGCCTGAGAGGTCTCACAGGGTTGCTTGGATGGTCAGAAGGGAAAATAACTCTCCATAGAAAATAACCTGCTTTGCCCTGCAACAGCTCATGCTGTGCTCCACAGACTAAAGAAGCTCTAGAGAAAATGACCTCCAACTTGCAGCGCCTAAATTAAGAGTCCAGCTAAGACAGAGAGGGGTTCCTTCAGAATAGCATGATTTCAGACATGCTGAGAGACATGTCTGATCACCTTCAGAAATGACAGCCAGACAAGGGCAAAATGGGAGGTCTTATTTTAAGATTTTCCAAGGTGTGATATTCCTAACACCAGGCAATGCTCATGGTCTTAGAATTTTTAGTTCTTCATATACCTACAGGCACAGAATGGGAATGTCTCATAAATGTAAGGACTAACAAAGACAGACCCACGACTGCAGCACATCAGAAGAATGCAGCAGGAGGGGGAAGAAGTCATCACCATCACCTCACTCACTTCAAATGCCACGAAAATTCTCAGAAGCATCACAAGCAAGGAAAATCCTCAAACCCCTTCCTGTATGCCCTGCAGAAAAATTTTCTCCTAATCCCAAAGCTGCTGATCAGCTTAACACCAAGGACAGACACAGGGCTCATCGCCAGGTTACTATCACACCAGAAACTTTGCTGCTAAAACACTTTCAGAAAGAACATGAAGAAAAAAATTCTTATAAAACCTCATAAGTAACATCTCAGGATCACAAGATTCTTTGCTTGAAGTAGCTTGACATAGAAGTTATTAAGTAAGTTAGTTGAATAATCATTAGTAAGAGGAGGTGGTCTGCACTGGAAAGAATCTCAAAGAACAGGATAGTTCTACAGCCTGCCCCTGTCAGCAGTACAGGAGTAGTGTGTCTTTTCACTGAGTAAGAGTTATTCATAAACCAGAAATATCCTCCAGATTTTATTAGTCAGCCTGCTCACCTGATCTGACTCCTTCAATGCCATATTTGAACCCACTACTTCTGTGCCAATTAAGCCACAGGGAATGCTGATAAAAATGTACAGCATCTTTGAAGTTTTCAACATTTACAAGCAATTCTTTAGTGAAGATATAAAAATTGTGACTGAAAGAAACATAATCATTTAATACTATGTTATAAAGTGTAAGTACCACACCAAGGAGTTGTCAGATTCATGATTAAAATGCAGGCAATTATAGACCTATGAATGAAATGCATTGTGACAACAGAGTATTATTTGCAACAATGCATCCTACCTACTATCAGTTAAAAAATACCAGGGTATCAATGCATCTAATTAGAGTATGACAATATTTAAGCAGATGGTAATTTATGGCAAAATTGAGCAACCATAACTCAAGACCTGGTTGGAGGAGGCTGTTTTGACCAAATTGATTTGGTGGGTGACATCCCTGCCCATGGTAGGGGGGCTGAAACTAGGTGTTCTTTAAGGTTCCTTCAAATCCAAAGAGAATAAAATTCTATAATTCTCTGATCTCAAGCAGAATTAGGGTTCATAAAACCTTTAGCTCTTTCAAAAGACACAGTAAGACTGTTGA